TATATATATATATATTTTAATCTTAAAAAAACAATGAACAAAAAAACGGAACAAAAATGCGCAATTGATTAGCTCAATTTATAATAAATGTTCAAAAATTCCTCCATTTGCTTCAACACAAAGATGACATCGTCGAAACATTGATTGTCTCACACGCTCGAAGACTGCAGGAATATTTTGAACCTGATATGCTGCAGCAGTAATTCGGGCTACCAATTCTGCTTCTGTTTCAATAGCTGTCTCAATGAGAGTTTAATATGCCCCCATAAAAAAAAAGTCAAGCGAAGATAAATCTGGTGACCGGAAAGGCCATGCGATAGGATCTTTTCGGCCTATCCAGCGCTCATTAAATCTTTGGTTCAAGTAATTGCGCACAGTAGCACTAAAATGGGCAGGTGCTCCATCGAATTCTTGAATATTTATTATAAATTGAGCTAATCAGTTGCGCATTTTTGTCCCGTTCTTTTATTCATTGTTTTTTGAAGATTAAAATATATATATGTAATTGAAATAAATCTAATTTTTCCACTTATATGTTTGTTTTTTATTAAAATTATAAAATTCCTATTTTGTACCCTGTAGTATTAAAACGAAGCGTCGTAGAGAAAAACATTATTAATAAAATATGTTTGTTTTTATGTCCTCTACTTCCCCTCAAAGTTTGTCAGTCTAATTTTTTTACACCGTGTATATACAGAGTGCCCCAGATCACCTTCATAATCTCTTGTGAGAACGTAAAGCGGATTGAAATGAACATAAAAGTTCAATATCGTTTTGCGATATTCGCAATAAATCTCAAGATATTAATTAAAAAAAATTGGTGAATGATCACGCGCGATGTGGTATATAAGTTGCAATTGCGTCGTCTGCCGTTGTATACTTGTACATTAAGTCAAACTGAACAAAAAAGTCCTCTCCATTTTGCAAATAACAACATAGATTTTTAGATATTAATTAAAGAAAATTTGTGCATTATGATACATAATCATGTAACAATTTTCTTTGATTAATATCTAAAAATCTATGTTGTCATTTGCAAAATGATAGAAGACTTTTTTGTTTAGTTTGACTTTGTATACAGGGTGTCTGTCTATAGATGTCCGAGCAAATATCTCGCAATAGTTGAAGTTACAAAAAAATTTAATAAGAGAAATTTGCATGGCTCTGAGTCAGCTACAAAATACATATAAAAAAATTTTCTTTACTCGTGACCTTTTCGAGTTATGAAGGTCAACATAATTTTTTTAAATGCATATCAATAATTTATTTTGCATATTTATACAGTAGTCATTTGCAATCAAAATCATATTCAGTAAAAAATTCCTAGTATGCATCGTTTACGAGATAATCAAGTGTTAAAATAGTAAATTGGATTATAAGTATTTTTGAACGTGGTTTGGAATGTCAGTGAGGTTAAAAAAATGAACAATATTTCTTCACAAAACATTTATTATTACATTTTATTTCACAAAACATAATTTCACAAACATAAATTGCTCGAAATTTTCGACTTCAATATATTTAAATCCCATCGACTTTTTTGTTTGGGAAACGTTGAAAAACATTGTTTTCAATGATGTACCAACTACACAGGAGAACATGAAAGAACATATTTTGGAAACATGTGCGAGTATAAATTCAGAAATGATAGAAATGATAGAAGATTTATGTATCGTATCCGAAAATGTATTGAAGTCGGAGGACATCATTTTAAATATCTCTTTGACTAAATTTTTTGTCAGAATAAAGTATAAAATATCTCGTAAATAATTGATTTTTCGACAATTGTACTTCTTAGTATTTTTATACATTTTAATATTTTTTAAATAAATAGAGGAATCATATCTATAAAAAAATCATAATTCCATTTAAAAAAGTGAAGGTGATCTTCATATCTTTTTAGCGTCTCCACCTAGAAAAAAAGCAGCGTGACCAAAATGTGTCCCCTTCGACACCCTTCCACTTTCATCTGAAACATTTTTCCGTATCATCAAAAATAAGTGAAATATTCAAGGTGACCCTGTATATACATATATACATATGAGAACCCTCTACTTTTTGTTGCATATTCTTGTAGCTTATCTCAAGAGCTTTCCGAAACATTATAATGATATATTTTTTCATTAAGTACTTTTTGAATAATGATACTTGAAAGTTACAGTATCGACATTAGCGTTATCCAAGGTGTAACCACGCGGAGGTTGCTCGGTCGGATTTACCTCTTTCGTGTGTGTACTGTAACTTCCAAATGTCATTCCTCAAAAAAGTACTTAATAAAAAAACACGTTATTATAGTATTTAGAAAGCTCTTGAGATAAGCTAAAAGAATATGTAACAAAAAACAGGGGGTTTAAAACATTCAAGTTGACTTTGGCGTGATCTTAACGCCTTCATCAAGGTCAGACAAATATTTGTCTTTTATGTCCCCCTCAAAATTCTACAACTTTTATATTACATATTTCTTCGTAGAACGTATATTTTTAAAAATATTGAAATGGGAAGTTTTAAAATGAACACCCTGTATATGTATACATACAAACAAGTCCCAGACCACCATAATAAAACTTTGTGAGAACATAGAACGGATTGAGGTAAGCAAGATCGTGTCATTTTGTGATATTCGCAATAGTTTTCGCGCGCTATATTACTGGACCGCGTTGCGGTACGAGCGCTCTTTCCTCTACTATTTAGTGCACACTTTTCCTTAATTTTTACAATTAATTTCTCAAATATTACTGCGAGTATCGCAAATCGATATAGGACTTTTATGTTTATCCTGTATATGCATATATACAGAGTGCCCCAGACTCTCCTTCGCATATTTTGTAGGAATATAGGATGGTGAGGTAAACATAAAAGTCTTATACTGTTTTGTAATATTCGTAATAAAAACCGAGAAATTAATTATAAAAGATTCAGGAAAAACGCACGTTAAATGGTTGAAAAAGAAGCGCACGCGCCTAATAATATAATGCACGGATTTCGGTGTGCGGTGATTGGAAAAACAACATAAGCATCATTACTTATACTTATATCGCTGCACTGCTACATCTCGCCTCGGCGCGGTGCGGGAAGATGTAGGATCATAGCGATATAACTCGCGCGCTGACATCTGCCTGCTAAATTACTGGGTCGCGAGCGCTCCTCCCTCAACTATTCAGCGTACGTTTTTCCTTAATCTTTTACAATTAATTTCTCGGTTATTATTGCGAATATCGCAAAATAGTATAGGACTTTTATTTTCACTTTAACGTTCTGCATTTCCACAAAATATGCGGAGGAGAGTCTGGGACACTCTGTATATTCCCTGTATAACACCCAGGGTGTTCACGACTACCCGTCCATCCCTTTTATTTTAAAAATAAGTAACGCTAGGAAATTTGGAAAACATGTTTCCTATAAAAGCTCGTCTGAAATTTTTTATGGTGGTATTTTCATGTTTGGGCAACTTCCAGAAATACCGGAAATTGGAGGCAACTTTAAAATTTTAAATGACAACATGGGTATTATTGGATAGAGCGTGTAAAAAGAAACAACTTTTACTTTAAATAAAATCTGATATTATTTACCGTTAACAAGAAATAAACAAAAAAATGCAACAAAATTATGACGTTCAATCTTATGGATTGCGTGTCAAACATAATTTGTAATTATCAAAATATTACAAAATACTAACGCTCGGAAAACTCTAAATAATTAAAGATGTTCAAAGTGTCTGTTATCTTCATGAAGACATCTTTCCATTCTTTGTCTCACGCTGTCGACAATCTTTTGAACTTCTACAGGATTTAAAGAACAGCAGGCTTCTACAATCCGCCGATGCATGTCTTCTTTTGTTGTTGGATATTGTTGATAAACTCTTTTATTTTCCCCCAAAAGTAAAAATTTAACGGCGTCAAATTAGGTGACCGAGGAAGCCAAGCGCTATAGGACCTCCACGGCTAATCCACTTTCCTAGAAAAAACTGGTTGATGGTGCGCCTTACAATTAAGAAGAAATGCGCCGGACAACCATCCTGTTGGAACCACATGACCTGACGTGTCACCAACGGTACCTCTTCAAGAAGTTCTGACAGTGTATTTTTTTTAAATTGGAAGTACAAATTTCCATTCAGAGTCTGGTCGAAAAAATAAGGACCGATAATTTGGTGCCCGATGATAGCACACCATGTGTTCAAATTCCATAAATATTGTTTATTCACTTCTCGTAGCCAATGAGGATTTTCCGTTGACCAATAATGCGCATTACGAATATTAACTACTCCATCACTTTTAAGGATGTGTTCGAAAATAGATTTATTTACTGCCAGTAGAAACAGTAAAGTTGGCAGCAGTGAAAATTATTGGTGCTGCGTTTCTTTTCTTCCACCAGTAAAGCCAGTGAAACAGCTGAGTCATCCAAAGTAATCTGAAAGATAAATATTTTTCATATTGAAAAAATAGTTTTCTGAATAGTTTTCATTTTTATGCTACAAAAATTTTAAAAATCTAAAAATATTTCTCTACGTAAAAAAATGGAAAACAATAGTCAACAATTGACTGATTTAAAATTAATAGATGAAACAACAAATGTACAATACATTATAAAAGTAGAAAAGAAAGTGTATAATCGTGCTCATAATGGTATAACTTAATTATAATAATATTTTAATAATAGCAAATATTAATGTAACATTTGTGACATTACCAAAAGTGATGGTTATTGTCTTTTATTATTACCTTCTTCTGTATATTCATATTACAATTAATGTTTTTTGCAGACATGATATTTGCTACTACATTATTAAAAAAAGCAAAAACATTATTTAATTCTAAAAATATACATAATTCTGTTTTACCAATAAATGTGATGACAAATGATATCAATAAACCCAGTTGTTCAAACATAACAAATACAGTTGTTAAAAAGGACACTATACTCTACGATAATACTACTGACATTGAAAACATTTCAGATGCGACAGATACAGGTAAGTTTAAGTAATAATAGTGTAGAAACAAATAAAATATAATAGTCACTTCTTCCATTTAAATACATACAGAAAATTGGGGACATAAAGCTATACTTCTTCTAATATCATTATATAAAGAAAAATCAGATATGCTGGGAAGAGGTTCTCAGAAAAAAATGTGGATAGCAATTTCTCAATGCATGAAGGAAAAAAAATACAAGTTTACAGGCAGTCAGTGCAGTAATAAAATCGATGCATTAAAAAGAAGATATCGCAAAATAGTTGATCATAATGCTCAAAGTGGAAATGATAGAAAAGAATGGATATATTTAGATGTAATATATTAACACAATAATAGTTATGATATTTTCAGATCGCTTTTGTACATGTTATTATTAAAATGTCATATAAAATAAAAATAGTTCAAACTTTAATAGTTTTCCATTATACAGGGTGATTCAAAATGAACATATTGTCCTTAAAATGAGATATTCCTGACTTAATTCTAAGACGATTTTTCCTTTGCCAAAATATTGTCAGAAGATTAGTTTTTGAATTATAACAAGAAATAGTTAGCGAATGACTGAGCGCGTAGAGAAGGTAGCCAGGGGCGGCGCAACTTACTGTCCAACGCAGATAGTATGGGGTCCCTCCCTGCGATCAGATAATCGCTACATACGTATGAGCATATGTGACCACATTCCCATTCACGCACGCACGCACGCACGCACGCACACACAAAAATTACCTTGTAAAAGTTCGATGACTTCACGTTGCAGTAGACAAAAAGAAAAAGTGTATGCATTTCATTATACCCGCGTGCAACAATTACGACCAGAAGATTATCCTCTACGGAAAACGTTCTGCGAAAACTTTTTAAGAAATTTGATCGAGATCCAAGACTTCCATCTCGAATAATATTTATCGATGAATCATTATTTACA